CTGCAAGGTTGGTTCAACATCCGCAAATCAATCAATGTGATACAATACATTAATAAAAGAAAGAACAAGAACCATCTGATCCTCTCAATAGGTGCAGAAAAAGCATTTGACAAAGTACAGCATCCTTTCTTTATTACAACTCTTCAGAGTGTGGGGATAGACGGTACATAGCTCAATATCATGAAAGCCATCTATGAAAAACCCACAGCGAATATCATTCTCAATGGGGAAAAACTGAGAGCTTTCCTCTAAGGTCAGGAACATGGCAGGGATGTCCACTATCACCACTGCTATTCAACATAGTATTAGAAGTCCTAGCCACAGCAATCAGACAACAAAAAGAAAGAAAAGGCATCTGAATTGGTAAAGAAGTCAAACTCTCACTCTTTGCAGATGATATGATACTTTGTGTGGAAAACCCAAAAGACTCCACCCCAAAACTGCTAGAACTCATACAGGAATTCAGTAAAGTGGCAGGATATAAAATCAATGCACAGAACACATTTGCATTTATATACACCCAACAAGACAGAAGAAAAAGAAATTAAGGAGTTGATCCCATTTACAATTGCACCCCAAACCGTAAGATACCTAGGAATAAATCTAACCAAAGAGCCAAAGAATCTGTACTCAGAAAACTATAAAATACTTATGAAAGAAATTGAGGAAGTCACAAAGAAATGGAAAAACATCCATGCTCATGGATTGGAAGAACAAATATTGTGAAGATGTCAATGCTACCTAGAGCAATCTACACATTTAGTGCAATCCCTATCAAAATACCATCCACTTTTTTCGAAGAAATGGAACAAATCCTAAAATTTGTATGAAACCAGAAAAGACCCCGAATAGCCAGAGGAATGTTGAAAAAGAAAAGCAAAGCTGGTGGCATCACAATTCCAGACTTCAAGCTCTATTACAAAGCTGTCATCATCAAGACAGTATGGTACTGGCACAAAAACAGACCCATAGTTCAATGGAACAGCATAGAGAGCCCAGAAATGGACCCTCAACTCTATGGTCAACTCATCTTTGACAAAGCAGGAAAGAATGTCCAATGGAAAAAAGACAGTCTTTTCAACAAATGGTGTTGGGAAAATTGGACAGCCACATGCAGAAGAATGAAACTGGACCACTTCCTTATACCACATACAAAAATAGACTCAAAATGAATGAAAGACTTAAATGTGAGACAGGAGTCCATCAAAATCCTTGAGGAGAACACAGGCAGCAACCTCTTTGACCTCAGCCGCAGCAACTTCTTCCTAGAAATATCACCAAAGGCAAGGGAAGCAAGGGCAAAAATGAATTATTGGGACTTCATCAAGATAAAAAGCTTTTGCACAGCAAAGGAAATAGTCAACAAAACCACAAGACAACCAACAGAATGGGAGAAGATATTTGCAAATGTCTTATCAGATAAAGGGCTAGTATCCAAAATCTATAAGGAACTTATCAAACTCAGCACCCAAAGAACAAATAATCCAGTCAAGAAATGGGCAGAAGACATGAACAGACATTTTTCCAAAGAAGACATCCAAATGGCCAACAGACACATGAAGAAGTGCTCAACATCACTCGGCATCAGAGAAATCCATATCAAACCCTCAATGAGATACCACCTCCCACCAGTCAGAATGGCTAAAATTAACAAGTCAGGAAACAACAGATGTTGGTGAGGATGTGGAGAAAGGGGAACCCTCCTACACTGTTGGTGGGAATGCAAGCTGGTGCAGCCACTCTGGAAAACAGTATAGCGGTTCCTCAAAAAGCTGAAAATAGAACTACTGTATGACCCAGCAATGGCACTACTGGGTATTTACCCCAAAGATAACAAATGAAGTGATCCGAAGGGGTTGTGCACCCCAATGTTTATAGGAGCAGTATCCACAATAGCCAAACTATGGAAAGAGCCAAGATGTTCACCAACAGATGAATGGATAAAAAGATGTGGTGTGTGTATGTACACACACACACACACACACACACACAATGGAATATTATGCAGCCATCAAAAAAGCCCAAAATGTCACCATTTGCAACAATGTGAATGTAACTAGAGGGTATTCTGCTAAGCCAAATAAGTCAATCAGAGGAAGACACGTATCATATGATCTCACTGATATGAGGAATTCTTAATCTCAGGAAAC